GCTTTATAATAGCAGGAGGCATATAGTGTTACCCTATTCTGTCATTCCGTCATCATTGACTCTCTGTTCATTATCTCTGCAACAGTTGCACACATTCAACTCAAATCTGACATACGGATACGTCATAGTAAAACCCAAGTCAAGTTCGAATTTGGTCATGCTCTGATGGTTTTTGACAGAGTTATCCCTCTTGAATTTAGAAAAAAATAAATTTTCAGTTTCCACTCTCTTACTTTTGTAGGGATGTATGCATAAGGTTGAAGTTGCATTTGAAGTTATTTAACCAGCAAATTCAGGTCAAGTTTGAATTTAGTCATGGTTCGTTGATTTTTGACAGAGTTATCCCTTTTGAACTTTAAAAAAAAGAAGAAATTTTCAGTTTCCGCTTTCAAACTTTTTTAGGGATGTATGTATAGAAACAATTTCACAAAACAGTTAAATTACCATCTTTGATTATAGGGCCATCCTAATAAGGTTAACATTGTATAGTTTTTAGACGGGGTCACGTGACCCCGTCTGTTAGTTTACTGTCAGTCAAGGCCTCAAAACGGAAACCGTGTGTAGAACACATTAATCAAATCTATGCTATATGAAAGAGTGCAGAAATTGTTTTGATCAAAATACAAACACTCTGTATCAAACTGAAGAGATTGATATGATGTTTTTCATACTCAAATTAATGAAGCATTTTGAAAATTTCAAACGTAAATAATTTAATTGTAAATAACACTAGTAAACAAACTACTCACCTGCGTAGTATTATGACTGAGTACGCATAATCGATTGTTTGGTTCCGGAAATATATTAATTCGGACCCGGTGAAATTCGAACAATTCAAAAAGGTTTCTTTACTTCGATATTTCTACTACAAAGTAAATGAAAATCGTTAAGATATATTTTCACATTTTTTTATGTGCTATTAAAAAAAATAAGTTGGTATCAAAACCCTATAAAAAATTTTCCCAATGCGTTAATAAAATTTGTGAAATCTAGCATGAAGTTTATTTTGACCCCATCTTTCAGTACTGTCTCAGTACTTTGATTATCTGAGTTATGCACCTTGAACTTATAGAAAAAAAATCTTTTGTGCAAACAAATTTAAAACTAAATGTGGCGTATGAAATTTTGGCTGTCTGCAGGGGTATTCAATGGCGTTATGACACAAATTTTTTAAATTGTTTAATTTTTTAAAAATATTTTACTATATATTTTAAAGTCATGGGAAATTAAAATCACTTCACTGTAAGCGCCAATTCATTATAAGTATGTTCTTGTAAGCGTGTTTTGCTGTATTCCAAGTGCTAAAGTTTTTTGGTGTTTCTGCAAATGCAGTTTAAGGACAACTCGCCTGAGTCAAAATTCAATATATTTATAACGTTTTAGATTCTTGCTGTGGCCTTCAACTCAACATTTAGATGTATGGACAATGTATTGTCAATTAACAATGGTTATTTCTATTCTTATGTCTACGCGATATATCCCGGTGAGCTTGAGATAAAAGATACCACAGAGTCTAACACATCTGTTTCATATTTGGTAATTTTATTAGAAAAAGATTGTAATGGTAATCTAACACCAAAGCTTTATGATAAAAGTGATGACTTTTATTAACTTTTCAATCGTCAACTTCCCTTACTTATGCAGCAATATACCCTTATCACCTGCATACGGGGTTTATATCTCTCAGTTGATTCAATACGCCAGAGCATTCTCTATGTATGAACAATTTCTAAAATGAGGGAAGTTATTGACAAACAAGTTGATGGAACAAGAATATCAGCAGTCTCATATAAAGTCATCATTTTGTAAGTTCTTTGGCGATACCATGACCTTGTCAGAGAATACAATTTTTCATTAAGTCAAATGCTGACTGACCTTTATCATACTAATTGTTAGGCCATTATTTACACACTGAATTGTTGACGGATTTTCCATTATTTCCTGATCATGACGAGGAGCACACGGCGGGTGTGACTGTTCGGCACGGGAAGCTCACTCCTCCATGGCACCTGATCCCACCTCTGATGTCTTAGAGGTCCGTGTTTGCTCTGCTCCTATTTTGTAATGTTTAATGGACATTTGAGCTCGAATACTGTTTGTTATGTCCACATATTTCATTCTTTGGTGTTAAAAATTTTGTGAATTTTCATGCAGCATTGTAGTTTAATTGAATAGTGGGTAGGAAGAACTGATAAAGAATATCAAAAGCTCAGCTAGCTTAAGTTGTTTTTTCATTTGTTCAAAAGACATGAATGCAGTTGTTCATAGATAATTAATATTTGTGTAGTTAACTTTAGTACAGCTTATGTGTTTTCCAGTAAGTTCGAGGTCACTAGAGAAACAAATAAAATTCTTGTGTGGTCTGTAACATTGTAAGGGACAATCATTGGAAGCTCATACTTTCTACAAAAAATCTTTATGACATGAGGGTATATCATGAAGTTTACCCAAGGTCATTCTAGCAAGTTCAAGGTCAGGTAGATAAAAATTAATTATTGTCTGGGCTATAACTTTGTAATGGAGAATCATTGGAAGTTCATACTTGGTATAGAGATTGTTTGTGAACAGAGGGTGTGTCTTGACTTTGATCTAAGGTCATTCTGATAAGTTCAAGGTCAATGCCAGAAAAAGTATAAAATTCTTTTCCAGGGTACAGCTTAGTTATGGAGTATCAGTGTAAGCTCATACTTCCTACCAAAATTCTTTATGACCTGAGGGTATGTCTTGATCCTGATCCAAGGTCATTGCAGCAAGTTCAAGGACACTGGTATTAAAAGTGTAAATCTATAATTTTCTAATGAAGAAACATGGCATGTCCATGTTTCATTAAAAAATTACTAATGACCAGAGAATGTGTCATTTAACCAAGGTCTTTTGGCAAGTTCAGTGTCACATTTACAAAATTTGAATGGCACATTAAAAGAAATGCAGAAGGGGGGGGGGGTATTTTATGAGATTGTTCCGAGTATTTTTTGTTACCAGTATTTCTATGAAGAAAGTTGAACCACTATAGCAATAAGGACTTTGACTTGGAAAAGAAAATCATTAACAACATTAGAATAGGTGCCATTACTTTGACTTATTACCCAATCATTCTTAAAAAGAAGAATTTTATAGATTCTTTCCTCTGTATTCCAGTGTAAAACTTTTTATTCCCTACTTGACACCCTATCACTAGAGATTATACAAACTTGAATATAAAAACAAGGGCAAGGCTTCATATTGGTTTGATTAATAGTGGTCATACTGTTCTTGAGAAAAGATTAACTAGTTTTTCGTATTAAAACTTCAGCTCTAAACTTATGTCTCACACTAGGCCAAGGGTTATATTAAGGACTCTCTATACCCGAGTGCAAAATGTTTTTTGGGACATTGAGAAAATTGTAATGTATAAAGGGGTAAATAATAAGCTTATCTATTTAATTTTCAGTATTATGGTGTGTGGCATTTACTCCCAGAAAAAAATGTTCAAAGACAAGAAATTTACAATAACAGAATTCACTACTGTTTTACTCCAGTGGAGAAAATATATGCAAATTAAATATTAAGTTAATTTATCTTGGCATTATAAAATGTTTTGAATGCTTGCATTAATTACAAATTGAGTAATACACTGTAGATTTCAATTTATTTGAATTTATATCAAATGGCAGATTACTCTAACTTGAGAAAAACACCACAGAATCTGAACTCTTTAGTGTGCAGTTTAGAGAGGGTTCTTCTGTTATTTTAGGGAAAGGTATTATTGAAAGAAGTAAGTACTAAATATTACTTAAAGAATACTGATTGAATTACATGTACTAGTAGTTGTATGTGTTTTGCAGAAACCTGGTGATGCCACGCAAGAAGAACTGGCGGGTTGGATTGGCCAAGAAGGGGAACCGGAGTCGTGCCAGCAGTGACAATAGACTCGTGGATACTAGCCACATAAAAAATAGTACAAAGGACCCAACGATTGACGAAACATTTGACAGACCTTTGAGACTCGTGGATACTAGCCACGTAAAAAATAGTACTAAGGACCGGGGGGATACTGCCTCCTTAAAAAGAGTACTAGATTTGCCTTCGGGCGCCAGTAACATTGCAAATTTGCCTTCGGGCACCAGAAACATCACAAATTTGCCTTCGGGCGCCAGTAACATTGCCAGTTTGCCTTCGGGCACTAGATTATTTGGAACAATTAATCAAGCAAATAATTTATTTCCAACTTTTTCTCGAGGAGTTCAGTGCACATGTAATGCTTTGATGTCTATCATTTTGCAAAATGCATCCACTACATCAGAACTTGATGAGGTGCTCTTTGCTGGGGATGATTTATTTAGACTCAGAATTGCAGAATTACAATCAAGTGTTCAATTTGTTTCAAAAATGCTACAATTCCAAGAACTTCCCAAGTCTGTTTATGTGCATGACAACCAGTATGAAATAAGCTATTTTGAACAGATCTATGGAACAGTGACTCATATAGATTGGGATCAGTCATGTCAAAATAATAATTTGAAGGAAGGTATTGAGCTGCTCTTTACAAGATACAATCAAGGATTAATTATAGTTGGAGGAATTTGTTCTGGAATATATGTGGATGACAAGAGGTGTCCTGTATTTTTTGATTCACATTCCCATGGAAAAGATGGTCTTTCATGTGCAGATGGCAAGGCTGTAAAAATCACTTTTGGGGATATTGATCAACTTGTGGACTACATGTTTGCATTTGATCAAAGTTGTAATATATCATTGATAAGCCAGTTTGAGATTCAACCAGTGTCTGTAAAACGAAAAACAAATGTGTCCATTTGTGAGAGACTTTCCTTAATTGACAAGTACTTTGAGTTCCAAAATAACATGTCTAGATTATGTACTATTTCTGAATCATCACACGGAAATCGAAATGAATATATGAGAAACTACATGCAAAAAAGGAGGGAAAACTCACTTCCAGAAAAAGTGTCAGAGAAAATCCTGAAACAAAGCTCAAGGAAAGAGAACGTACATTAAAAAGCATGAACAAGGCAAGAAAAAATAAAGAGTTTAAAGAGAAAGAACTTGCTTCCAAAAAAAGTGTCAGAGAAAATCCTGAAACAAAGCTCAAGGAAAGAGAACGTACATTAAAAAGTATGAACAAGGCAAGACAAAGTAAAGAATTTAAAGAGAAAGAACTTGCTTCCAAAAAAAGTGTCAGAGAAAATCCTGAAACAAAGCTCAAGGAAAGAGAACGTACATTAAAAAGTATGAACAAGGCAAGACAAAGTGAAGAATTTAAAGAGAAAGAACTTACTTCCAAAAAAAGTGTCAGAGAAAATCCTGAAACAAAGCTCAAGGAAAGAGAACGTACATTAAAAAGTATGAACAAGGCAAGGCTAAATACAGGATTTTGTTTAAAAGAAAGAGAAGCAAAGAAAATGAAAAGAGACAATGTGCAGCAGCTGGAGAAAGAACGGCTTTGTAAACAACAAAGTAGAAGAAATTATAGAGAAAAAGAAAGAGAGAGTGAAAGAGTTTCTAAAGCTAAAAGGAGGCTTGATGCAGAATTTACAGACCATGAAAACAAATTATTAAAGAAAAGGTGTCATGGTAATTCGTTGGAAGATTGTATAGAGAAATTTCATGAAGAAGTGAAAATTGGTCCAATTTATGTGTGTACATGTTGTCATCAAACTTGGTTTTGGAAAAGTGTTGTGAAGCTAGATACAACTAATCTTAGTGCTAGTAGTAAAAGTATTTGTACTGGATTAAGATCTGTGGATGGTATAGAATGGTTATGTATAACCTGCTGTTCAGCTCTGAAGGATGAGAAAATTCCAAAACTTTCTGTTAGAAATGGAATGAAATGGCCTGACCAACCAGATGCTTTGAAATTACACCCACTGGAAGAGAGGTTGATATCTCAACGCATACCATTCATGCAAATAAGAGAATTACCTAGAGGAGGTCAAATGTCTGTCAAAGGAAATGTTGTAAATGTCCCAGTTGATATTCAGCCAACTGTAAATGCCCTTCCACGACAAATAGATGAGCATGTGACTATAGCTGTAAAATTAAAGAAAAGATTATCTCACAAATCGGCATGCTTCACAGAAAATGTTCGTCCAAATATGGTGATGAGTGCTTTACAGTGGCTTATGAAAAATAGTGAGTTGTATAAAGATTCTGGTTTAGTGATAGACCATTCTTGGAGAGATGAAATTGAAAAAAGTAAAGAAGAAACAGTACAAGAACTGATAGGTAGTTCAAATGAAAGCGATGATCGTGAATCTGAAGGAAATGATGATGATTTTTGTGAAGTTTCTTCAAATGATTGTATTCAAGGCAATTCTGATACACTTGTTGATGAAGCAGATATTGATACAAATAAACTCTATGTGTTTGCCCCAGGAGAAAACCAAAAACCAATAAGTTTATTTACAGATAAAGATGCAGAATATCTCTGTTTTCCAACAATATTTTGTGGTCACCGCAGAATTGAAAGTGAGGAAAGAGAAGTTCCAGTACACTACAGTGATATCGCAAAATGGGAGTTGCGCAGTGTTGATAGACGAGCAGCACAATCTGTACCTAACATCTTTTTTAAATTGAAGAAAATTCAAATTAAACAGGTTAGTGATAAAGTTAACTTGGCACTTAGAAGATGTAAATCAAAGGGCAAGAAAATCACTGCAGAACAAGTTTTAAATCCAGCAAATGCAGAAAAAATTGTAAGATTAAATGAAGGGTATTATATATTCAGAACACTTCGAAATTCTCCTGCATATCTTTCATCTAAAAAGAAGGATGTATTTGCCATGATAAGACAGTTAGGTCTCCCAACCTGGTTTATTTCTCTGTCATCAGCCGATACCAGATGGCAAGATCTGCTTAAAACATTGGCAACACTAGATGGAAAAACCCTGTCACAAGAAGAACTAGAGGCCTTGAATTGGAATGAAAAATCAAAACTAGTTAAACAAGATCCAGTAACATGTGCAAGATTCTTTGACAACAGAGTTCAACTCTTCATCAATACTGTTCTTAAAAGTCCTCACAATCCTTTAGGTGTTGTCACTGATGTGTTTCGAAGAGTAGAATTCCAAAACAGAGGTTCACCACATATTCATATGCTGGTATGGACAAGTGATGCTCCAAAGCACAAAGAAAATAGTAATGAGGAAATTGAAGCTTATGTAGATAAGTATGTCACATGTAGTTTGCAGGAAAATAATCCTCAAATGGAGCAGCTTGTAGAGCTTCAAGTACATAAACACTCAAAGACTTGCAAAAAAGGCGGTAGATCTGTATGCAGATTTGGATTTCCATTGCCACCTTTGCCCAAAACCATGCTTCTTGAACCATTGGATGTTGATGTTGAGCATTATAGAAAGATATATTCTGATATTCAGAAGAAAATGAATGATTACAAAGATGGTTGCAGTTTAGACTATGAGTCCTTCTTAGAGACTATTGTAGAAATGTGTGAGGATGAGTATATAAAATGTATTCGAGCTTCCTTGAAAGGTCCCAAAATATTTCTGAAGAGAAGTCCATCTGAGATGAGAGTGAATTACTATAATTCATCAGTGTTAAAGGCCTGGAATGCTAACTTAGATATTCAGTTTGTACTTGATCCTTATGCATGTGCCACATACATTGTTGCTTATATCAGCAAATCTCAGAGAGGAATCAGTGCAATGCTTGATAAGGCATCTCAAGAAGCTGCAGAGGGAAATATGGATCTTAAGCGTCAAGTTCGACATATTGGAAACAAGTTCTTAAACTTTGTTGAGGTCAGTGCACAAGAGGCAAGTTACTTGATCCTTCAGATGCCACTTACACAAGCTACTAGAGAGGTTGTTTTTATAAATACTTCACCACCTGAAGACAGAGTTTTCTTACTCAAACATCAAGATGAATTGAATGAGTTACCCAAGGATTCAACTGATATTAAGGCAGACAGTATGATACAAAGATATGCAAGAAGACCAAAACAGCTAGAAAATTGGTGTTTAGCTGATGTTGTTTCCGAATTGGAAGTAACTTTCCCCAAAGAAATCAGAAAAGATTTACAAGAGGAAGTGAATGATGATAACCCAGAAGATATTTCTGAAGAAACTTTTTTTACTGATCAGGATGTTTTAGTTCATTTGAAAAATGGGATTAAGATCAGAAGACGAAAAAACAAACGAGTTATTAGATATGTAGGGTACAGCCAAAAAACAAATTCTGAACAGTATTACAGAGAAAGAATTCTTCTCTTTCTGCCTTGGAGAAATGAGAATGCTGACCTACTTGGTAGTCATCAAACTTATGAACAGCACTACAGGCAAAAAGCATGTATAATACAAGTTAAGCAAAAGCAGTATGAGCATTTTGTGGATGAATTAGAACAAGCTCGACTTCAAGCTGAAGAAGATCTTGATAATATGGAGACAGTAGCACCAAATACAGAACATGCTGAGGCAGAGGATGCAGAGATAAGTTCTGAACCATCTGAGGAATTTGTTCATTATGATCCTGATACAGTTCAACACAGAGATTTTGATATTGGTCCAGAACTTGGCTTGTCTTCAAAAGTATCTGAAACAGAAATGAGTGCTGTCCGCATTCCTGATGAGCAGTATTATAAACTTTTGCAATCCCTGAATACTAAGCAGAGAGAATTTTACAATCATGTAACAAACTGGATTCAAATCAGAGATGAACCATTATATGCTTTTCTAACTGGTGGAGCAGGTGCAGGAAAATCAGTGGTTATTGATGCAATTTTTCAAACATTACACAGAAAACTGTACTCAAAAGAAGGTGAAAACCCAGATGATATTAGAATATTACTTTGTGCTCACACTGGAAAAGCTGCATATAACATCAAAGGGACTACTATTGCATCAGCATTTCACAGGAAAATGTATCAAACCCAGCAACACATGAGTGAAGATGAATTGAACTCATTTAGGACAAAGTACCGTAATTTGTCAGTTGTGATAATTGATGAAATTTCAATGGTAGGAAATAATATGCTGACATTTATAAATGACAGACTTCAGCAACTTACTGGTAGAAAACAAGATTTTGGTGGTATTAGCATCATAGCTGTTGGTGATTTGTATCAGTTACCACCTGTTGGAGACAAATGGATTTTCAAAGACCTTTCTAATCCTGGTCAGAGTTTAGCAAAAAATTTATGGCATGAACATTTTCATATGCATGAACTAACTGAAATTATGAGACAAAAGGATGACCTCAGATTTGCAGAAATGTTGAATAGACTCCGTGAAAACAAGATGACAGATGAAGATAAAGAACTCATTTATCAACACATCATCAGGCAAGACATGCAAGTCTATCCTAAGGAGGCACCTCATCTGTTTATTGAGAACAAGTTTGTTGATTGTTTTAATAACAATCTAATAGAAAACCTTTCAACAAATAAAGTAAATGTAAGAGCAGACACAGACGTTTTATCACAGACAAAACTCTCTGCATCAGTGAAATTAAAACTAGTTCAAAACTTGCCTGAAAACCCAGCATCTACTGGACAATTAAGAACTAACTTGGTTATTGCTGTAGATATGCTCTATGACATATCCGTAAATCTTGATGTTACAGATGGATTGACAAATGGTGCTTCATGTGTTGTGAAATACATTGAATATCAACAATCGCTATTAAGACCAGCTATAGTATGGGTTCTGTTTGCTGACTCGAACATTGGTATTTCAAGAAGACATCAATACAGCCATTTGTTTAGCACAAATGTTAATACTACATGGACTCCCATATTTGAAGCAAAAAGAACATTTGTGTATAACAGGAAGACCTATGAGAGAATTCAGTTTCCACTCCAACCAGCTGCTGGAAAGACAATCCATAAAGCACAAGGAGCAACTCTTTCAAGTGCAGTCATCAGCTTAGCACAGACAAAGCAGCGCAAAATTCCTCATATACATTATGTTGCACTCTCTAGAGTAAGGTCACTTGATGGACTATTCATTCTGGATTTCAATGAAAAAAGTCTTTCTAAAGATGAAAATGTTGATAAAGAGATGGAAAGATTGAGAGAAAATAGATTGCAGCTCTCATACACACCACTTTACTCTGTATGTAAAGATATTAAATTTTTGTTCAACAATGCAAGATCTCTACACAAACACTACCTTGATATGAAATCAGAACCAAGTGTTTTAGCTGCAGATGTTATTGGTATAGCTGAATCTTGGCTTTGTGAATTAGATTCTGATAAATACTTTACTTTGGAGGGTTTTACAATGTTCAGAAATGATGCAAATTCTTCCCAGACCAGATCACATCATGGCATTGTCATATATCTGAGGAATCAATTACAGTGTGTGACATACAACTCTTTTACTACCAAATCCGTTGAATTTTCCATAATTTCCATTATGGCGTCCAATACTCCAATACAGTGTGTAGTTTTATATAAGCAACCTTCTTGTACTCTTCAACTTTTTTACGATACGTTGAAGAACAGATTGCTTCCATTTGTTGACAAAGATAAAAAAAATTGTGATTATGGGAGATTGTAATTTGGATTTGAATACTGGTCAGTATCAGCATTTCCTAAACTTTATGAGAGAAAACTTTGGTTGTGAGCAAGTTATAAACAAGATAACCACAAAAAACAAGACACGGTTAGACCTAATATTTACCAACTTTACTGATATACAAACAGATGTTCTCCAGGCTTATTGGTCTGACCATAATATAATTTATTGTGCTGCAAATATTACTTAAGCTAGCTAATGATAGAAGTGTATAATAATTGTCTTGTCCAGTATTATATAAAAACCCTCTAGAGCACAACACAGGCAGTATGTAAATATTTAGTTTCCAGTGGAAGCTAAATATTTACAAAGTGCCAAGAGTGGTTAGGCAAAAACAAGGGTTGCCACTCATCATCTACCTTATTTGTCCCAATAACTCCCCTGTATGTTTAAGTACATGTACATGTATATGATTTTAAAATTCACATAAATTTCCTTATTGGGAAGTTATTGGGACAAAATTGTGTTTTAAAATTATAATGCCCATGAGATGAAATTATTTAGTTCATGTATGTTAAGTTTGCAACCTTTCAACAAACGGCAAAAAACGTACGTGCTGCCTGTCTTTTATATAGTATATTGTTTAATCACGATTCAAGCTCCATTACAACATTGTTTTCTTATAACAGAATATGTAAATTTTTGTGTAATTACACAATATGTAAATTTCTTTGCAAATTTTTGTAATTATTGAATTAAACATTTAAGCCATGTATAAATGGAATGTTATAATGTTCTTTTTTAAAATTGGAATATTATGTTAGTATTTAAAAAGAATCAAGTACTGGTGTATATCTGCAAGATTTGATTGGATCAAATATTAAAAGATATTTTTTATAACATACTTTTTTTTGTGATGTGCCTACATGACTTGATCTGTTAAGTGTGGATGAAATATACACTCAAGTAGCATTTTAATACTTCTATTCCAATGATGAGTTAAATTTACTTTTTTTTTTTCCATTTCATGTTTTTGTGTTTGTAAAGTACTATCTGTTTTGGTAATCCATGTACATGTATTATACAATTATAAAATTAATATTTCATCTCATGGGCATTTAAATTAACATTGATTTCTTTAGTAGATTAATTTATGCTGATACATATATATTGAATTTAAGAATTAGAATGAAAGAATTTTTGTGTTAATTTATTATATACACATAATTAATGTAGTTATCATACAACCAAGTGTCACAATGGTGTATCAGATCTGCCAAGACATTGTATACAGAACAGTTATCCCTGTTATGTCAAAGACTAACTCCAAACTGTGTTAATGTGATACTGTTTTATCAACATTTGGTTTATAAAAAATACTGGCTCCTGTATTACATGTGAAACTGTTTCAAATCAACATTCCATTTCTGAAAAGACTAGTTATCTCCCGTGTTACATGTGAAACTGTTGAATCAAAATTCTATTTCTGAAAAGACTCTCTCCCGGCCGTGTTACATGTGAAACTGTTAAATCAACATTCCATTCCGGAAAAGACTGGTTCCCATGTTACATGCGAAACTGTTAAATCAAAATTCCAAATCTGAAAAGACTGGCTCCCATTGAATATGTGAAACTGTTAAATCAACACTCCATTTCTGAAAAGACTTATGATCTACAGTGTTACGTGTGAAACTGTTAAATAACATTTCATTTCTGAAAAGACTTTCTGCCATGTTACATGTGAAAATGTTATCTGCATGCATTCTGTTGTACATATATTAATCATATAGATTTAGAATTCATTTCTTATTTATTTATTTTTCATTATGTTTTTGGTGATACTGATATGTTGTTGAGTTACGTACACTAAGACAATTTAGAATTTTCTAACTATGACATTTGTATATATAAGTACTACCATCAAGCATCTATGCTCAAATCTTGTGGATGAAACTATCTACTTTAGGCGTACAGTGTACTGTTGATCAAGAGTTTAAGTCCTAGACCAGCTCTTGTAACTAATTAAATTATGTGTATATAGAAAATTTTATCACCAAATCATTACCAAATTTATCATTTTCAAGTTCTATTAAACCTTTTTAAATGTACATTTATATCCTTTTCCAATGTATATTTGATTATAAAGAGGCAGGTAGATCTATGTTAATTAATTGTACTTATTTTTGTTTAATTTTCATCTGCGGAAGGCATATATTGGAATAGATACAATATTATATTTGATTTTGTAAAATAGGACATTTAAAGGACGTAGGATGTGGATACTTAAAAATATATATATATATATATATATACAAATTTATGAAAAGTTTGTATAGACTTGTTTAAAACACATATTTATTATGAAGTTTTCCTATCAATCCATCCTTTCTCTTTTTGCATTATCCCCAAATCTATACTTTTAATAGCTGAATATATGTATATTGAAATTCAGTGCAAAAAAAATATGAACAAAATATCCCCCTAAGAAATTTAAGTTTACCCTCACTTACCATTTAATGAATAATTGGAATCTAGAACCAACACAATTCAAGAAACTATGATAAAACCCCATATCTCTGGATTTCAGGCATCCTATGACCTTAAGATTTATTTCTTAAATCTAAAATTTGTATTATTTAATAAAAGTGTTGATAAATGATTTCAGGCCCTTGTAAACAACTTTAATCTTTCTTTTAGCTTTTGTTATGTGAAGAAGTTCGTTCACAACAACGACTGAATATAGGAAAATTTTCCATTTCTTTGAAATATTTCAATTAGCTATAAATCGGTATTCATTATGCAAATATTTGAATTAAATTGTAATCACATATACTATGAATTTAAAAGTATATTTAATTAATATAAATTCACTGCTTTATGAAATCTTTTCTTACTTTTTTTTTTTTTTTAAATTTTAATTTTTTTTCCCTTCCATTGTTTTAAACTACAATTAAAGCAAATGATTTAAACCATGTACTAAATATATTTTTGTTCTTGCCATGTTGCATTTATCTGTTCAATACATTTTTGATCATATTGTGAAAAGTTTAGGATAACTTTATGGTTCAATTTTAACAACATCTGCAAATATTAAAATGTATGTATACAATTTATGCTAGGTGGACAATTCAGGTACAGACTCAAAACTTTCTATAATATTGCTAACTCTAATTAAAAAAAAATGTTTCATTGCTACCATGATTTCACAATATCTATTTTATGTTGTAATTGTATGAAATCACCAAATATGAAGCATTCACTTTTTAAAGGTAAGTAGCATAGAAAGAGGGGGTCAATGGCCAGCCCGTAAAGGGAGGTAAACCTTGCTTCTTTCAGATGATATAGAAATAAAGTGAAGATTGCTTCCTACGTAGTATGATTGGTGGTAAAATTTCAGACAGTAGACCAATAAAGCACTTTCATATTGTTTGAAAATTGAACAAAGTTAAATATCAATGAATTGTTCACCAGGCTTTATAAATAAATGCAATACTATAGTCAATAACTACGACTTAATTATTTAAATTTTTTTATTAAAATCATTATTATGAACATATTAAAGTCAATAATTGATCCATTGTAATATTTACATGTACATGTATATACATGTAGTAACATGCTTTTGAGTGTGTATATACATTAGTGTGTGCATAATGGAAGTTAAGCAAGCAGTAAATTTTATCTGGATCAATGTACTCTTTTATAAGGGAATGGTCCTCTTTGCAGTATGCGACTTTGGTTTTCTCCCCTTGATTTGCTTTTTTATGTTGAGTATTGTGTCATATTTTTATTTAAGTTATTGCACAATTTTAGATATTAAGATGTTTAATCATGACTCTTTCCAAACCTGATGTTATGAAAAAGAATTCCATTGATTACATGTAAATCATTATCCTGAGAGAATATAAAACACAATAAATCTGATACGGCTTTTTGTGTATGTCTCAATTTTTATTACAGTATGTTTAAAGGACTGTAAGAAAGAAGAGGATTAATTTGCAGCATATCACTGCTCACACATCAGAGTTTATTTTCAAAAGGATGCATACCTTGTGTAAAATCACATGTATGAGCTAAACAAAACCATGAACTGCACAATTTATCGCTCTAAAAAATTATGAAATTTCTATTGGGGCACTTAAAGGTTTACAACTGTAACAAAAGTTGTTTAGTACTCTTAACTTACACAAAGTCACTTTTACTTAGGGTCCCGCATCTTCTTCCTGCAAATGCATTATACATTGCATAGCAAAGAGCACATCGAATGTGAGAGTATAATGATTATGTGACTAAATGTCACATGATTTATATCTTCAATAATATTCTGTGAAAAAATCTGAAATACATTCACTGATGACATGATAATGGTACAGAATTCTTACATGAAAGTTAAGCAAGTCACCCATGTATTTCATGATTTCTGAGATACAAGTGTATATTTCTTTCTTAAAATATTTTGGCTTTACTTAGTTGAAAGTTGTTCCATGATACTCAGGTGACCTTCAAGGCCCATGGGCCTCTTGTTAATGACATATTTGAAAACTGTTTGGCTGTATAACTATAAGTCTCTGTCAGAATGGCTCATTAACTCTATC